CAACACCCGCACCTGGTCAATCAATGCCGCTGTTCACACCAGACTGTCATGTGTTCACTGAGTCCTGGACTGGTTTTAGTACCGAAAAAGGGAAGCAAAGTACCTTCTGCCTAAAACATTGGAGTTGCCACACAATTCGGAGTAATGCGACAAGAGCGTCAGTCCTAAGTTTGGCTGGAGGACGTGTCGTGTGCACGGTTGATCGAGATTGGTGTAGATCTGCCACCTTCAAATTGTCGTCAAAGCTGAAATATTGCCTCCCATTATCCATAAAGACGGAGACGAGAGGACGTATAAAACCTAGTGAAGCATCTCAAAGAGATCCTTGGTCGGCCGCAGTGATGAGACAAGTAGATGGAGCAAGTATATGCTAGCCATATCGACAGCTTATAATCAGTTTTTTTGGGAAAAGACTGCTTTAATCGTTGAAACAGAGATGCTAACGTCAGCGCATCGTGCACGACCACGTGATAAGCGTGCTTTCAACGAAGACGGTTGAAAGTCCAACCATCATCATCTCTGCTACCATGGTCGCCGCAGGCTCGATTACCGTCGCCGGTCAGCTTTTGTTCGCTTTTCTATACAACTATCGCTCATTTTCGTGCAGTGCGGGTACGTCCGCCGACAGCAACCGAAGCCGCTCGTCTGCCTGAGCCATGTTACGACACCACTATTCGCGGCGACGGTACGCTCGCAACCCCAAAGTCCATCGCCACCACATCATCACTGCGCGAGGTCGTCCAAGTCGTGGACGACCGCATTCTTACATTCGATCCGGACGAGAAGGACAGAGCAAAGGCGTTCATGGAGAGAGGATTCCTGCCGCCAGGGACAAAGCGGTACAAGGACAGGCGCTTCATGTTTGACAGGGTCTTTGACTACGAGGCAAGGCAGCGCGATGTCTATGAGGGGACGGCGCAGCCGCTGCTGAAGGGTCTCCTTGATGGGTTCAACGCTACGGTGTTCGCATACGGGGTGCGTTGTCTGCCAGTCCATTCAACCATGTCTTACCAAACTATAGGCTACTGGATGTGGCAAGACACATACAATAAGCGGAACAGAAGCGGATCCTGGCATTATATATCTCACAATGGCCGACCTATTCCAGCAGATTGAAGACCGACGAGACGAATACAACGTCGATGTCTCCGTTACCTTTCTCGAGATCTACAACGAGGAGATCCGTGATCTGCTTGCCGACACGGGCACAAATGCCCCTCGAGGCGGTCTGTCCATTAGAGAGGACAAGACCGTCAAGGTCGTTGGTCTCAACGAGCTCAAACCCAACTCTGCTGAAGAAGTCAAGGAGATCGTCCTCCAAGGCAACTCGCGCCGGACTCAAAGCCCAACACACGCCAACGAAACCTCATCCCGCTCTCACGCCGTTCTCCAAGTCCACATTACCCAATCGCCTCGTACCGCTTCAGTCTCCGAAGAACGTACAGTGGCCACTCTCTCTATTATCGATCTCGCTGGCAGCGAACGCGCCGCTGCGACTACCAACATGGGCCAGCGGATGGTGGAGGGCGCCAACATCAACAAGTCACTCCTTGCCCTTGGCAACTGTATCAACGCCCTCTGTGAAAGCGGCGGAGCAATCCGACACGTCCCTTACCGTAACAGTAAACTCACGCGTCTTCTCAAATTCTCACTCGGCGGCAACTGCAAGACGGTCATGATTGTCTGCGTGGCACCCACTTCCATTCATTTTGACGACACCCATAATACCCTCATCTATGCCGAACGCGCTACCAAAATCAAGACCAAGGTTGTCACGCGTAATGTCGTCAACGTTGATCGCCATGTTGGACGTTATGTCGAGGCTATTAATCGTCTTAACACCGAGATCGCAGAGTTAAAAGCCAAAATCTCTGGTAAAAACAACGCCGAGAGCCAGATTCAACAGCGCAAGAGAGCAGAGGCTACAGCAGAAGTGGAGCGATCAAAAGAGGATATGAAGCTCAAGTTCGAGCAGACCAAGGACTCCATCGTGGACGGGGCCCACTGCTCGGGCAAGATATCTGTAGCCAACATCAAGTTGGCAGCTATACGGGCGCGTTTGGCGGAACTGGACTCCCGGGACATTTCTTTGTCGGCCGATCTTCAGGCTGAACGCGCTCTGTTATCGGGCCTCGCTGAACCAGAGGAGAATGCGATCAAACCCGAGTCTGTCCTCTCAATCAGATTGCAGCGCTCTTCGAACTCTAGAAACATGTTTGACGCTACGATGAGAGCAGTTTCAGAGAGGCGGTCTGAGAAGCTCGACGAATATGGGATAGAGATGATCAAACTAGACGCCAAGCGCAGAAAAGCAGAGGTGGAAGCGATGAAAGCCCAACAGGAGAAGGATGCTATGAAGGATGCAGTCGAAGATTTGGCTCAACTTATGGTCGCTCTCGTTGGGATGCTGGGTCGATGTACTGTCACTGTCGGCGACGCTGGTAGAGCCCTTGGGGGGGCCTCGGGAGACGATCTACCTCAGGCTGCAGCAAGCGTCTCTTCATTGCTTAATCAAGTCAAAGAGAAGAATGACGAGGCTTTCACCAAACTTGTGGGCCACTCCACCAGCGGTTACACCATGGCTGGCTCCATCGTGCTAGACAGTTACAAGAACTATACCAACCCCACGTTTACACGTCGCGTCAGTTCTGGACCTTTGCCTTCCTCTAAAGCCCGGCGGTCGACAGCCTACGATGGGGACTCTTCCTCTATTTCTCCTCGAAGAAACCACAGGTCGATCCGCTCCAGTTTAGCCTCACAGCCTTATCGCCGAGTTTCTGATAAGGAAAGGAAGGTATCCAAGTCCGGCAAGAGCGTGCAATGGAGAGACGAAGCTGGTCGAGGGCATTTAGACGACGGAGGCTCTGGTTTCTCAGCGCCACCACCTGTCAAAGTTGTTCCTGCAAGTCCAAGTCCAGCCGAACGGACACCGAATGGCCGCAACACGCCGAGTGGTCGTACTACCCCTCAAGTTCGTCCAATATCCCGCGCCGGGTCTGAGAGTGAATGGGAGGATGATGACAAGACGGATGACAGCGTCCATCTTTCCGTTTCTCAGTCTAGTTTGAGACCATCTAAGCCCGCCTATGGGTCACTTGGATCCGCACGACGACCTCGTGCGGGCCGCTTAGATCCTGGTTTTCTCAAATCCAAGGGCAAGGCGACGACTTTGGGTAGTTTGGCAGAGGGCAACGAGAGCGATGAGGATTTTGGTCGACGCGTCTCTCAGCCATTGGGCCCAAGAACCCTCAACTCTCAGGAGGATGTGCGTCATCACCGTAGTGGATCTGGTGGACAGAAGAAGCACGGGAGTCCAGGTCGTCGAGTATCCTCGGCTTCTCGAATGGGTGCAACGCCTGGGAAGAGCCGTCGACGGTCCAATATTGGTCCTTTGCGCATGGAGAAGTCGCGTCGACGATCTAGCATGATTCCTCAACTCTCCCCGCCGAATGGGGAGACACGGCCTCGTAGGATGCTGATTGCTAGCCCGGCGAAACGGGTCAAGCGAATTTCCATGTCATCGCGAGGCATGCCGCCCATTCGACTGAAACCCATTCCCGCTTCAACTTCAACGAGCTTCCCCTCGTCCTCGTCCGTTGGCAATTCATCCTTCGTAAAGGATGGAAATACAAGCATAGGGGATACTAGCATCAACAAATCTTTACGACCGACGTGGCGATGAATTACGACCGTTGAGACTATTTCAAACGACGTGTAACCTGTCTATCAGCTCATTATCATGCATTCATTCCTCTTGTTTTCAATGTTCAGTGTAATAGTATAAATAGGCCGTATACCCTCTGTCAATATTGTAGACCGAAATGTATAAATGGGCATTCCGAATGAGCTTTGTATAGGCGCCACATATGTAACTGCCATCAACAAGGAAGGACACGGACATGATTGCTGCCCATCAAGATGTTGATAGTCTGCTCTGTTGTCACGAACCATGAAAAGCCTTTCGTGTGCTTTCCATTGCCTTGCGCAACAGGATACTTGCATGCTCGTAAGCGAGACACGTAGGGCAGACCTTGGATATGGAGATGCAGATGATCAATAGAATTCAAAGGAGGTATATGGAATCCCATCCTGCAGGCCATTAGTCAAATACCGTCGTGGCAGCAAACCGGCTCACTTTCTCGCGTGTGGAGGTACATCCAGCTGTTCAAGGATAGTGTCACCTAGGTTTGCCATGGTTTTGACTGTGACGATTATTATTGAGCGCATGCCGCAACCGTTGGACACTGACCAAGCTCAACATCACTCGAACAAAGGTCCTTCACACTACCTGGGACGCAGTCCGTCACTGACATCGTCCAAACGCATGTAAAAACACATACCAATGTGAGTTTTAGGTATTAGTTGGATGTGATGTCGACTAGAAGGATTACGATCCTTAAATGCCACAAATTTCTCGTCCTAGAGCATTGCATTCGTCAGAAACTTGAGGGATGTGCAACGTGGTGGGGGGCGTGAAGACGTACTTCGTAGATTATGTTGAAGCCGTTTTCTTTGGAGACATGACAGAAAGGACAGTGTTTGACGTAGGCAGCCGGATTGGCCTCAAGATCATCAGTTAGACGCACGGCTGGTCGTCTGGAAAAAGGCCAAAATGTGAAGCAATCTGGCATTACCAGTGATAGGCTAATGAAGGTATTTGTGAAGCACTCCAACCCCGAGTCCAAGTTGCCGCCGGCATCGTATGGGCTTATCAGAATCCAGATGTGGCTCAGCGCTCAGCCTGTACATTCGGAGGTTTGAAGAAGGTCCTGGACTTGGAGTAATCCTAATATTGAGAATTGATTCCTGAATCCTGTAGGGTAATGCAGTAAACCTTAAGTATTGATACACCTCTGCCTGACAGTATTGATACGGTATTTAGCGCGGCTGACATTTAGGTTTTGATACTGCGATACACTGTCAGGTGTGTGCTGCCGTACTGCGCCATAATCCATTGCGAACACAAAATTTAGTACAACTAGTAACAAACGAGAAAAAGGAGACCTCGACGTGATTCGAACACGTGACCCTGCGATATTGCTGCTACGCTGCAATCGCATGCTCTAACCACTGAGCTACGAAGTCTTGTTAGCTGAAATCTTGCATAATATATGTAGCGTATCCTACACTGGACAAACCGCCTCTCTGGAAGATATCATTACTACGTCGGGTGAATTGGTGCACAAGCTCAAGATTGTAGCTCTTTTTGGATGGGAGAGAATTGTGATCTGCAAGCCTGCCTATCATTATCATTTGGATACAGATAACTATTTACTCTTCGCAGGAATTGAGCAAGGAGATGTTTGAAGGGCAACGAAGTCGTACTAGCCGATAGCCCATCTAACTCCCCATGTCTTTTCTCAAACATACTATTACACAGCCAGATGATAGATAGATACATCATTCCTAAAGAGCCCAATCCCAGTGCCATCGCTCGGCCTCGGACTCTGAGATACACTTGCGATGTATATCAATGTCTGGTCTCCAAAATCGGACTACACCCTCATCAGAACACGTCGCCACTCCCTCCGCGCTCCAATCCACAGCCCCAATCTCGCCCTTGACCTCCGGACCGCCGTTGAGCTTCACAGCCTGAGAGCCTAGCGTAACACCACGTCGACCGGCGTTGTGCACGTCGAAAAGAAAGGCGTTTCCAGTAGGACCGCCACACGAAAGCCATCTGCCACAAGGAGAAACAGAAATTCCAACGTAAAACGAACCGCTTGACATCTCTGAATGTGTGTAACTGGTTTCACAACCGACGAGGGTGGACATGGTGTATGTGTGCACTCGAGCGTCCGCACTGAGACCGAATAATACACCGGCCGTTGGTCCACTACCCTTGCAAAGGCTCTTGATCCCGCGAGGGCGTCGTGAGCCGTGAAAGCATGTCGGGTCATTGAGTGACATGACTATGGGTCTAGGTTTTGGCGCCCTTTTCTTGCTTTGCAGCAGCCGCACATCCCAGCAGCGAAGGATCCTGTCACGCCATCAGTGCGAAGTCAACGAGACACAAAACACACTAACCCATTGGTTGTACCACTGCTTATGAGATTGAAGGGTGCCATGTCGTTGTATACTAAACCAGTGATGCTGGAGGTAGTGTTCGTCTTTTTACGTGACTTGATCTCATCGTGAGCACTAAAGATGGATGCCACAGGATCAGCTGTCGCTTGCATGCTCTGTCTAAGATCCCAGAGGTGGATGCTGCCATCACGACCACCAGTTGACAGGAGATTAGGATTCGTCGGGTCCCATGCTATGCGCTTCACCGAACTGGTGTGACCACGTAAAGTATGAAGGAGAGTCGATGTTTCCAGACAAGTGATTTTTGTGGTTTGGTCTGCCGAGCCAGTAGCGAGGAGAGAATCAGACTCGTTCCACTGAACATCGAATATGCCGTTATTGTGGATCTGAAAGAATGCCCTTGCTGGTTCTGGAGAGCAATGAGCGTTCACTGGTACGCGGTTGAATGAAGCGCGTACCTAGATCCCAAGGCTCTCGATGGCTGGTGTTCATTATCTGGACAAAGCCATGTTCCGTGGCGACGGCAAGCAGTGATTTCCCTCCTCCTCTAGCGCCTGTCGTAGAATTAATACTGGGCTCAATGAAAATACCGGAAAACAGACCGTGGCTGTAGGAAGACGCGTAGATGGGAGGAAGCACCAGGTCGGCAGCATGGCAAACATAAGAGTCTAACCGCTTAGAAGAGACAAACGACTGAAGAATAGGACGTGTAGATACTAGTCACGTCAGACGCTGCATACAGACAATTGCACAGGACATACCATCTCCCGAGCGATGTGTGAGGCCACGGATAGTAGTTGGTCGTCGCCGCACTGGTGCGACGGATGGCGGCGCATCACTCCCACATGCTGACTGCTCGCTGTCACTGTCACTTTCTTCGCGCATATCACTGTCGTCCCCCTTGGGGCGTTTACGCTGGACATCGTCGACTGCCTTTAGTGGTCGTTTGAGTGTTCGGCATTTTGGAGGTGTCGGCAGAAAAGACAAGGTCTGCTGGAGTTTCTGCGGCTTTGTTTCAAGTGGATTGAAGTTTGTGCGGTTGTGTAGGATGGGGCGCGGCGATGAGCTTGGACTCGGGAGCATGGTGGTCGGCTGCAAACAACCAAATAAACCGCGACGCGTTTTCATTCTCGGTCACATGCTCTGACATCATCGGCTTTATCGGAAACTTGCCAAAAACTTTTCCTACCTCTCCTCCATCATGTATCGGGCACCTCTAAGGTCGATGGCCACGCTGGCCCGCCAAAAATTAACAATTGGCCTTATTCCTGCCGATGGCATTGGCAGGGAAGTCATTCCAGTTCGTTGCACACTTTGAAGCGAAATGCAAGTACCTAAAGTCCTTAATAGGCCGCGAAGACCGCTATTGAGGCGTTAGGATCTGACATTCCTCCTCCGAAATTCATCGACTTGGCCGCCGGTTGGGAAACTTTCACCCGCACTGGTGAAGCTCTTCCCCCAGAGACAGTCCAGTGAGAACTCCTCAAATATCAATCATTATTCCAACCTCATGTTATCGTAGGGTCCTCAAGGACGAGTGCGACTGCGCACTATTTGGTTCCGTTAGCTCTCCATCACGCAAAGTGGTTGGGTACTCCTCCCCGATTGTAGCTCTTCGTAAAATTCTCGACTTGTACGCCAACGTTCGCCCGATTCTATCAGTATGTATTTCCGATACATCAGACGCGTCTTTCTTAATGTCATTTCAGGTATCACCAAACCCCGGTGAACCAGCTGCGGTTGACCTTGTTGTAGTCAGAGAAAACACAGAATGTCTTGTACGTCTAGTCCCGCCAGGTCTGCCAGAATTCCGCCGACGGTTACGACAATACCTGCAGTACATCAAGCAAGAAGAACTCATAAACACTCCCTATGGCAAGGAGGCCCGTGCGACAAGACTCATCACTGAACGGGCATCGAGACGAATTGGGCAGATGGCATTTGAGCTGGCACTTGCTCGTCCTAGAAAGGTACCATCCATACATGTTCCTCTAATCCTCCACTAACGAATCTTTAAGCATTTGACGATTATCCACAAATCTAATGTCTTGTCAGTGACCGATGGGCTTTTCCGCGAGACTGTTCGTTCGGTTGCAACAGCCGATCCCAAATACCAAGATGTCACTATCATGGAGCAGCTCGTTGACAGTGCCGTGTACAGGCAAGTCATTTGATATCTTCATCATTCTGCATCTGACCTCCCGACAGGCTGTTCCGTGAACCCCAGTAAGATTGTCCCGCAAGGTAAACGCATAAACCTGACTATGTTGTCGCCAGAGTCTTCGACGTCATGGTTGCACCTAACCTCTACGGCGACATTCTCTCGTCAGTATTGCTTTAACTATCTACTGTAGCACTTGAGATTGATCCGCCTACTCAGTGATGCTGCCGCCGCTCTCGTTGGGTCTCTAGGAGTGGTTCCTTCCATCAATGCTGGCGACGACTTCGTAATGGGAGAGCCGTACGTATCCTCCTCCCTCAAAAATACGTCTTGCTGACATATCGAAGTGTTCACGGTTCTGCCCCGGATATCGTAGGACAGAACATCGCCAACCCCATCGCGTCCATCCGATCTGCTGCCCTGATGCTCCGTCACCTTGGCTATACGAAGGGCGCTGATAGAATTGATGCAGCGGTAGATTCTGTCGTCCGGGAAGCGGAGTATTTGACTCCCGATCTTGGTGGCAAGGCCAAAACCGATGCAGTTGTAGACGCCGTAGTGAGGAGGATCTAATTCCTGTCCATACAGCCCAAGTAGATACCTGTCTCAAATACTCAGTGGATTACTACGGAACCCTTGCGAGAAAGACTATTTGGGTAAGTAAATACTGCGTCCATGATCTATATGGCGTTGCTATACAATGGTGGTGGAGAACTGTCACTTGAGAAGCCTGAAAGCTCGCTCGACGATACATATTTACTAAGTAATTTAACCTCCTTCCTCAGCTCATCTATTTCGCGCCGCATCATTTGCGCTCGAACGAAAGATGCGGTCGAGCGGGTGGATGATGAGGATTTGCTGCGCGACGGGCCAGCAGCATCTATCGTCTCGATCCCCGCGAAAGCAACCTGCTTCGCCACCCTACGATGTATTTGTTCAGCATTGTCGGGGGGAATTGGAAGGGGGCGACGAGTACCTGAGTTGCTGCCACCGCTCCCAGGCAGCGGTGGCAAGATCTTTGAGAGCCTGGGAAGGCTGCTGAGCACGTCGGACTTTGGGCTCGTCGACGATCTTGAAGTGTCCGAGAGGCGCACTTTGTAGGTCTTCTCACGCACCGGCGTGATCACTACGGCCTGGGGAGGGATCTGAATCTTCCTTCTGCCGCCTCTGTCCTGGGCGGTGGCAGGAAGGATGTAGGGCTCGTTTCTAGTGGAGTTGCCTGTTGGCGGGACAACGAGGAATGGGAGATCAGGAGACCGCTTGGAGGCACCAAAGGGGAATGGAGGGGATTGCACTGCCGGCTTTGGTCGAGAGATGTCGACGATAATCTCAGAACGTTGAAACCCCTTCAGCAAGGAGGATGAATCTTGCTTTTCGGACGAGTGGGATGCCATCCGAGAACTAGGGACGGAGGACTTTGGCAAGATAGCTAGGTCGCGGTGCAGGATGTTGTACACGAAGGACCGAGACTGAGACTTTTCGTCGGTACTCGCCACAAAATTCCCTTCTTCAGGATGACGAGCTATGCGATGTCTGTGATAGAAGACGCAAAGCGCAAAGGTGAGCAACAGCGCGGACACGCCCCCTAGCACGCCCCCGACGATGGCGCCAGCTCTGCTCATCTCAGAAGAGACGTCCTGAAACGATTGCCCAGTGTCGTAGGATTTCACTGATCTAGAGCTTATACTGTCAGGGAAAAGAGAATCTCCAAGTAGGTATTGGAGGAGTCTCACGGCGTGTCAGAACGAGAGAAAATGTCGCCGTAGATTTCGTTGGAGTGACCAAGCACTCCACTAGTATCCAGGATTAGCGGAATAGAAGCCCAGCTCCAGGTGCTCATCGCAGCAGAATGCCGTCGCGGACGTTACTGCTATGCGAGAGGAAAGGAATGAAAGAC